CCTATACTCCTTGAGTAACTCAATATAAGTGCTTTCTTTATCGGGTAACAATAAAACACTCAGATAAGTTCACCTCCGTTCTTTATCAGTGCCAAGGTTTACTTCTTTTAAAGCATCAACTGTTGTCTTCACCCCTTCTTCAAGTTCAAGTGGAGCATCTATTGCATCTTCATTTTCTTGAGGGTCCCCATCATTGAATAATATGTGATAACACGGTGAAACATCCTCTGATTTCTCGTCATCCTCTATTAGAGATAAAATACCATGCTCGCCTTGTGCAGTAACATGATACGAAGAACCCACACTTTCTTCATCTTCTTCACGTTCATTAGTGTAGACTACAGTGTATGGCTTTACCTTCAATACCTCATTACACGAAACCCTGATTTTGTTTGTCGCCTCATTCTAGAAGGAACCAGACTTTAGAAATCCTTAGAGATTTTCTAGATTCTACGCAAAATGGGTGTTCTTATATTTTGGTAATTTCTCCGGAACTTGTTCCCCTTCTTTAATAGACCCAATCTCAAATACCGAAGTCCTCGCAGTTAATTTTCCAAGTCGATCAAAGACATAGGTCTGTTAGAAGCGGCAGATTCATCTTCTACAATGATATAATTGTTGCTTGCCCTTCTTATAGAGATGCGAACTGGTAGGGGTTGCTTATATCTCAAACCATCACGTGGTTTCCTTGTAGCGACTTCTGATGGGAGATTTCCTAATTTTGATGGCTCATTGGGATTATATCCAGCTTTTGTAAATATCTTGTAAGCATTAGGATCAAATCCTTTATTTGTACGCTTTATAAGGAGTTCCACATTCTGCGAATGATTTTGGGCAACAAACCTCCAAGTAGCGTTGAAGATAGCTTTACTGCCTCAATTCGTTTGATCGGAAGAGTTAACCCCCTTAGAATATTGGTTTGGAGATTGGATGATTCGCCTTCCTCTTTCTTCATTTTAGGTACATAGTGGAGCGCAAGAGTTACTTTCTTGCCATGAGACATAATGTTCCCTCTATGAGATTTATTTGAGTTAGGATGTACCTCCTCATCAACAACCTTGATTTTTTCGGAAACCACCTTAGCTATTTCAGTTGCGGACTTTTCATTCTTGCCATTCATGACATCATCAACTTTTAGCTCCTTAACAATGCGGTTCTTCAAGTAGAATTTTGCATTGGCGAAGTATGACTTAGCCTCAGTGAGTGGCTTTTCATCAACATCAATATTCTTCTCGACGTCACCCTCTTAATACTTCAAACATTGATGGTAGGTAGATGGAACCACTTAATTCTCATGTATCCAAGGCCTTCCAAGCAAGACGTTGTATGAGGTCTTTGCATCAGTCACATGCATCCATGCACTTGACTGCATATCTTCAATGGTGATTCCCTACCTGATCGCACCTATGGCTATTTGCCCTCCTTGGTTGAATCCTTGAATCATCACACGTCTTTTCGAGAGTTCGTTCACGGGAATGCCAAGTTCTTTCACCGTGCGAATCGGCAATATATTCATTGAGGATCCTCCATCAACCAATATTCGATTTATTCTTTCAATGCGCATATAGCCAACCAGGTATAATGGGCGGTTATGAGGAGTGTCACCTAGTAGATGATCGTCGTTCCCCTTTTCCAACATGGCAACAAAAGGCCTCACTACCATCATGGGAAATCTTTTGTACGGAACCAACTTGGCGGGAACTCCTCCAAGGTCACTGGATGTCGTGGCTTTTGAGGGTGGTGCACTTCCACTTTTGCCTTCTTCAAATGCTTAACCGGATTCCGTTTTCGGTCTTTTTACCACCACTTTCCTTGTTAGTTGTTCTATTGATTCTTTTCATGAGTTCTTTTTGTGGCGCCTACGACGAGTCACCAACATCCAACCTTCATCATCATCATGCTGATCTTCTTCGACTTTGTTATTCTCCAATAATTCTTCATCTTTGATTTCTTTTAAACTGCATAGCTCATCTAGACTGAATGAGCCAAAGGTGATAGAGACTTGGTTCGCACTTGGCTTCTCATCTTCGAGCACAATTTTTTTTCACGAGTCAAGTCCATAACCTTGTCCTTAAATACAAAGCACTTATCAAGAGGATGACTCACAAGTCGATGATATTTGCAGTAATTTGGATCATTAATTTTCCCCGCTTCATGTGGCTGCTTCATCTTCGGAAGCTCAATGAGCTTCAGCTCGAGAAGATCTTCAAAAATTACAGGCAAATCAGAATCTAGAAATAGATACTCCTCTTCTTGCATTTCTTTTAGAGTTAACTTTCCACTCGGCTTATCTTGAAAAGAAGTTGATTTCACACTCTGCTTCTTGCTCGCCTTCATCGTGAACTTCACAGGTGATGTGTTGACATTCATAGCTTCTTTGCTTTCAGACTTAGGTACGAACTTGCTCCATTTTCTAACTTCTTGGTTGTCGTTCCCTTTACAAGGCTCATAGATGGGCAGCCTTTCATTTCCAGCAGAGGCCATGCTCAATTCTATGTCATGGGAACAAGTTGCAAGTTCTTCAAATGTGCTAGGTTTGATACCTTGCACGATGTAGCGCAATCTCCAATGCATGCCTTGGATGCACATCTCTATATAAGAAGTTTCACTAAGCCTATCTTTGCAGTTGAGTCTTGCATTTTTCCAATGATTGATTAAAGTCAATAATTGGTTCACCCTTTCATTGACGAGTATTTGTAAGTTCAATCATACTCACAGCACGTCTCGTGCTATAAAAGCGATTGATGAACTCTTGCTCTAGTTGATCCCAACTATCAATATATCCAACCTCGAGGTCTGTGTACCAGTGAAAAGAACCTTTTAGTGAGGACAAATTCCTTGATGAGATAATCTCCATAAGTCCCAACATTGTTGCATGTCTCAACGAAGTGCGCCACATTTTGTGCTTTGGATTGCATTTGCCATCAAACTGTTGAAACTTTGGAGGTTGATAGCCAGCATGCATCTTCAACATATTGATCCTTGCAGTGTAAGGCTTTGCGTATGTAAGAGAGGACTTGGCAACAACTTCATACTTATTCTTAATAGTTTCTTCAATGAACTCCTTCAGTTGATCGATTGGAATCATTTCTTCTAGTGAGACAGGGATAGCCTTAGCGCATGCTACTTGTCTTGGGGGAGAATGACTCTCTAGAACTTCAGGGAGCTTGCTAGGTGTATGGGTGGATTCTTCTTCCATTTAGATTCTCACCCTGTCTATTAACTTATCAATTCTAGCATCTTGATTCTGCATGCACTTGGTCAAGCCAGCAATTGCTTCTATGAAGTTTGCTAGTTGCTCCTCCACAGATGAAGCGTTGTCACCATTACTTGCATGATTGTTGTGGAAAATGGAGAGTAGCATGGATTTTCACATAGATTGATCCTTGATTGGATCACGCTATGCGGTGTAAGTGGGGAGGATCCATCACTTGAAGCATCATCATTTTCCTTCACAGCAGAGTTCTTAGATCCGGAGAGGTCAAGCAGAGCAAAAGTTTTCTTAATCTTTTCATCAGTATCGCTTCCTCCTTCGGGTGCGTTTATAGAAGATATTGCTTCTTTTAAGGATGAAGATCCAAAAATAGGGGTTGATGCGGATGGCACTTGGAGTGCTTGTTTTCCTAAAGAGCTTTCTTTGCTCCTCGCAGTTGGTCCAAAGCTTCCAAAGGTAACATCGAGGATGCTTTCCACATTAGCATAAAACCTAGAATTAGCAGTCTTGGTGGAAATTGATCTGTAGTTAACCTTCTTTGAAGCCATTTTGATGTTCTTGAACTTTGGTAATTGAAAAGTTGAGATGAGAGGTAGAGATTGTCCCACTGGGCGTGCCAGAATTTTAGACAATAAATTTGGATTAGAAAAATAATCGATGCCGAAAAATATTGCAACAATCGTAGTATTTTATTACAAATAATTTGGGTGTTACAATCTCTATGATTCCTCTTATTCTTCTTTCTAAAAGTAAATAAATCCAAGGGCCTTTGAGATTGATCTTGAATCTATGTTTGTTGCCATGAACGATGATCTTGAATTTAACTTGCACGAACTTTGATTTGAACTCGTACTCCTTGAATGTTGATTTGTTCTTCGTTCTTGAGCTTGAACTTGAACTTGATTGCTTGAAACTTGAAACTTGTAGAGAAATTTGTGGCGTTTGATCCAGGAGCTCTCTCTTGCTTCTTGTTATAACTTCTGGTGTCTTTTCTGAGTTATGAAGACCCCTATTTATAGTTGTGAAAGAGAAGAGTTGTGATGAGAACATACTCTTTTCGACCAATCAGATTGAAGCGTGACAAGGCCGCATTTGATTGGCCAGAACATGTCACTTGCACATGTGGCGCAGTTTCATTAGCCATTTAATTTGACTTGGCATGCCTTGTCACTTTGACATGTGGCACGATGCTATTGGCTCCATTTGACTTGGCGTGCCACATCATTTGACACGTGGCACCAAGCTGGGTCTCTACAAAGATGACATATTGGGCCTAATAAAGTGGGCTCATCATTTGTAGCCCAACTAAATGGGCTAGCCTAGTCAATATTTATTGGACCTAAGTAATTAATCCAATTATATTAGCCTATAAAATTATTTTTGACTAGTATATCTTGAATCTAAAATATAGTCCAAATTATTTTATAAATTTAAATTCAGTAAATTTTGCATGCCTACCGTATATGTATGTAATTTTACAGCAGCCCTGAATCAATTAGAAAACGAAAATTTCTAAATTCTAATATAATATCTTGTTAAGATGTGTGATGCCATCATCTTTAAGCGGTTAGAAAGGTGATACATTTATTTTATATCTTAACAAACTTAGATATACAAGGTTGAAACTGTTACTTTGCAAGTATTAATGTTTGCCTCGAAAATACGAGTAACAATTAAATTTGATTGTGGTTTTAAAAATATGTGATTAGATTCAATACCAATTAATATTCAAGAAATATGAAATAGAAATAAAAGGAATAAGCGAATAAACCAATATTACTCGACAATGGTGACCTCGAGCTTAGTGACCTCGAGATGGACTAAGAGCAATAAAATAAGAACAGTAAATGTAAAGGATAGTAAAGACAATTCTGATGAACAGTAAGAGAGAAAAGTAGGATAGTATATTCTTGTCAATGATAAGATGATCTTACAAATGATTGGGGTCCCCTCTATATAATAGAGGAACCCTAAATAAGGTATATTTCTATTTACATTAAGGAATATTCTTGGTACAATTGTATAACCGCCTAGTACGGAATCGTACAATCAATTTCCGGGATTTGCGCCATGATCTTGGAGACGTGGCAGGAATCTAGCCCATTCTGCTACAAGTCCATAACGGTACTATCTCGGGGTCGAGCATACTCGGCTTCGACGTCCATTGTACTTTGATCTTCGGTCATTGCATCCTACCTTCGAGCACGGATCTGATCCATCGGGCTCGAACTCGACCTTGCCCAAACTCGGGCTCGAGACGAACCCTCGAGCCTATAAATCGGAGGCCTGTGATTTTGACTGTAGACCATTAATGTGAACTTATTATACAAAATCTACAAAAGGCAGTTTGATGTTACATTTGAAAACAAAGGGTTTAGGTTACAATTAAAACTTGAAAAGCAACTCATGTAATTAAATTGTGTATTGAATTCAAACGAGGCATTTTTGTCAATAACATATATCATCTACCAGTCCTATGAAAGTCATTCTTCATTGTCTTTCAACTTTTACTGTTATTTATTTGTTGCAGTTTCTGGAGATTTTTGTCGTTACAACACAATTGCAAATAAAACCAGCCAACTCCCAACTTTATCATATACGTAGTGTCTCCCCCCAACCCATCAGACCACCACCATAGTGCAATATACACACTAATTGAATATTGATTCCAAACGTATACAGATGATGTTACGTTCTAAGTCAAGGTGCTTTTTATTTGCTGCTATTCATGACATATTTGTCTCATTTTTGCTTTTTTTTTTTTTTTAGTGGTGGTGTCGGGCAGATACCTGATACCTCCCACCAGCCACACGTACTAACTTTATCCACCAAGACTTAGACAGACTACCTCATTTATATAGGGTGAATTTTAATTGGACTAAAGTTGTGTTCTTGGATTTCATTTGTTGCTTTTGATGTCCTGAAGTTGTGAATATTCATGCATGTTTTTCTATTTTATCTTGTTTAAAGACTGAATTTTTTATGTTTTTGGAGGATTTGTAGAGGTGGATCCATTGATTCTGGAAAGAGAAGACATGCTTCTATATTTTCAAGAACAATTTCTGCATCCAAGCTTTGCAGATGTGATGCTATGAGATCACAAATTGATTCAGATGCCATTGTTTCTCTTGAACGAAAACCCACTATTAAGCATTCGTCCGAGGTATTAAAACCTTTGATGCTCCATCACTACTAGTTTATTTTCCTGTGACTAAGTGTGTATATATTCCAAATATTTTTAAGTTTTTTTCAACTATAAAAAGTACTGGTCAATTATGTTATTTAGGTTCTCAATATGTAAATTTTATGTCAAAGAATTGATATTTAATTCACAAACATGGAGAAATTGATAATGAGAATTGATATTTTTGACGCCAAGTAGCTTGGGATTGCGGCGTAATTGTAGTTGTATCAAGTTGACATCAAAACCCTGATTCTTTTGAATAGAGGGAGTTGTTTATTTTTTCGTTTAAATTTTTTGATTCAAGTGCATTATAATGAATTATGCAAATAAATTCTTGATTTTTTCCTTTTTGGGAAGTGATTTTTTTGGTGAATATGGATAATAAGTTTTGTCCAAAAATATTAAATTTTTATTTGTTATATTTATTTTTGTTTGTGTAGAATGGGATCGATAGACTTTTGATCGTGCAAGAGCAAATGGGGAAACTTGAGGAGGAGCTGAAAGAGACAAGAGAGCAATTAAATTTTGTTGAAGAAGAAAAGAATAGAGCCATTAATGAGCTTAGTGAGATGAAACATGTAGCCTATGAGATTAATGTGAAGGCAACTGATGAATTATCGCCAAGGAAATCAAGAGAACTTTATGCAGAAATTAGGATTTTGAAGGAAATGCTTACTCACAAACAAGAAGAATTGAAGATAAAAGATAAGAATATCAAGTCTGTGAAGTTGGAGCTCGAAAAGGCGAGACAATGTGAGCTCAAGTTACTAGAGAAAGAAACTAGTTTAGGGAAAGTGAATGAAGGATTCAATCATGTAAAAGCATTCAAGATTCACGTAACAGATTGGTTGTCTGATTTTAGAAGAAGGGTTCAAGAATTAGAAGATGAATTGGAGAACAGGAAGTTATCAGAGTCCAAAATATTTGATGCTTGGTTGTCAAAGACAAGACAGTTTGAACAAATCAAGATTGAACTCTGAAGAATCCAAGCTCGAGATTGCTTCTCTTCATGAAAAGATTGAATCTTTAGACACTTCTTTCAAGCAAAATGGGAGGTATCTTGATCATTCTTGCAATGAGGAAATGGAAAATCTCAAGTATGAACTTGAATTGGCAAAAGAGAACGAGAAAGCGGAATCATCAAAGGCCAAGGCTTTAAATGATGAGATGAGTTTGCTGAAAAATGAAATGAAGTTGGCAAATGAGGCAGAAGAAAAGAGTAGAAAGGCGTTAGATGATTTAGCGTTAGCATTGAAGGAAGTTGCTTCGGAAGCATGTGAGGCCAAAGAGAAACTTAGTGCTACACAATTAGAACTCGGACAAGTGAAAAAGGAGGCTGGAAATCTGAAAGAGATGATCAAGAGCATTAAGGCTAGATATAAAAAGCTTTTGGATGAAGCAAAAGAGGAGACAGAACTATATAGAAACATAGCAGACAGATTGAAGTTAGAGGTGGAGGAGTCACTAGTGGCTTGGAATGGGAAAGAAATGAGCTTCATCGCGTGTATAAGAGAAGCTGAAGAAGAACGGGATCTTGCTCTCCAAGAGGCCGCTAAGCTCAACGAGTCTCTTAATGCAGCCGAGCAAATGCTAAAGCAGCAAGGGAAGAAAACTATAAATTGAGAGACATCTTGAAGCAGGCTGTCAATGAAGCAAATGCTGCAAAAGGAATGAATCGATGCCATTTTCTTTGTCGAGCAACACGAAGATCAGCTTAGAGGAATGAGGGATGAAGTCACCAAAGGCAATAGCCGAGGAACACAAAGATCACAAAAGCCAAGAAAACTTTCAGCTTCAATCTTAGTGAGCTAATTAGCTTCTCGTCACCAGACTGCATAATTCATTTGCTTTCACATATAATGGAGACAGAACTTCAATAATCCACATCATAGCTATTTTGACAATTTAGATAGTAATAAGAATTTAACTAGGAGAAGAAAATTATTTTTCTGAGTGTGTTGGCAACTCATAATGAGGTATCATTTAGACAGGAAGAAATTTTTTTAGTTTTTATTTTTAGGAATTTCATACGTTCGTACTTGGGATTGATGTATGCTTGATTGATACTGATGATTTGCTATGTCGTTGGCCTTTTGGGATTGATGAAGGACTTAGAAGAAATTGTAGAACTTGTAATTTACTATTTGGGATGGTGTTAGTGATTTTCTTGTTTAACTACATTCACCAGTTTTCGGATTTGTAACGAAATTTAAAGGATTATGAGTTAGTTTTATCGACCACTTTTATAGGAAAAGTGGTTATTTTTTATATTTCAAGCTTGGTGTATAGAAGCATTGATTAATAAGTTTACTCTTTTGTTTATACCATAAGTTATGATCTTGATGGCGTCAGTGAGTTAAATAAAATAATCTGTAATCTATTTAAGTGTGTTGTGCTAGGTAACAGAATTATCTTGCTGGTATTGCCGCTTGTTGCTACTGCTTCTTTTTTCATCTTTCCTTGAGCCGAGGTTCTATCGGAGACAACCTCTCTACCTTCTCAAGGTAGGGGTAAAGTATGCGTACGCACTATCCTCCCCAGACTCCACATGTGGAATTCAATGGGCTTGTTGTTGTTGTTGTGCTAGGTAACAGAATAACCTGAAAATACTGAACAATATTTCCATCTATATGAGTGCTTTTATCTGATTTTAAACTCATAATATGCAAGCCTCGACTGCAGTTTTCGAGCCCTACAATACAACTGTGTTTTATCTACTCCCTCCCTCCTAGAGCACATAGAATAGTGTAGTTCTCTTGGACAATGAAGCTATATATATATGATATAATGCAGGAGAGCCTTGGAGATTGAAAGGCTTACACACACAAAGTTGAACCGTTTGATTTCCCAAATTGTCTCATCATTGACCTTCCTTTTGCTCTCTCCAACGAACTTGCTTTTACTTTCAGGTACCACACATGGTTTCAAATGTGGCATCAACTATCAGCCTCCAACGGTGATGATCTTGCCTGTGTACAACGTGCTTTCTGCATGATTAGCAACAACACTGCTGTTGCTGAGGTCTTCTCCTAAACTGACACAAGTCTGACCTCATGTATACCAACCGTGCATTCGTCCACTCGTATGTTGGTGAAGGTTTAGAGGGAGGTGAAGTCTCAGAATCTCCGGAGGACCTTGCTGCCCTTGAGAAAGACCACAAGGAGGTTGGAGCAGAAGGTGCTGATGAAGAAGAGAAAGGGGAAGAATGCTAAAAGTGGTCTTGCTACGACGACCATGATTTGTGTGCCTCGGGTAAATCTTCTTGCTTGTGTATTTTATTTTACTTGGATGGTCTCTAATTTTTTCAAGGCAAAGTAGTCTAGATATGCTCTCTTGAATTGTTTGCACAAGGATGTTCTGGAAGTAAATTACATTTATAAGTTGTATGAATAGTCTTATCTACTTTCTTCTCCCTCTTATTTAGCTTTTATTCTCAATAAATGATGCGATGAGCAAGAACTGAATCTGAAGATAACAATATGCACGAGGACATGTCCAGACTTTCATACCAGAAATGTTTGCAAGTCAATGACATGTTGTGGCGTCAGATAGCCCCAGCAAAATTTACCATACAAGTAGCTGTGCTAGCATACATCTAACTCTTACACAGTTAAGAAGAAGTGGTTTCAGCACCGAAAATCTGCATACTCTCCAAAGTTGTATAATTTTCAATGCCGGTATTATAGAATATTCTGTTTTGTTTTATTTTTGCAGTTTCTATTCTGTGCGCAGCGGAAGCCTAGCGGGCCGATAACCCACAGGTCCCAGGATGGAAACCTAGCTCTGATATTAAAGGGAGTAGTACTTGATAATCATTTAAGAAGTACTCACTTGCTATAACAACTCAAGGAGAAGATAAATAAAATAACAATGTAAACTACATTTTAGCTTTACAATCAATTCTAAACTACATTTCAATTGCCCACTCTCTCTAGATTGAACCAGAAATGAAAGGTAAAATCAAAATAAATAAGGAAGACATGAGATAGCTAATATTATAAAATGACCCTTAAATTTGTTTAGCATAATAAAGAGCACAAAGGGGGAAGATCCCAAAGAGGCTCAGAAGGATCATAGAAATTTTCAATGTATTCTTGAACTCCATTCACTGCATATAGTGATGCTGATATAGACCTTTCCATTTTCATTCTCTCAAATTCTGTGAGCCCCATCTCAGCTGTCTCATCCAAAATCACATTCTTGGGATGATCCAACAATTCTTGTGCAAATTCATAGCCTCGTGCAAAATTCCATGACATTTCATGCTGTGAGGAATTAGTAAAAGAAAATGAATTAGAAACAGAAGAAGACGAATATCCCACGTCGATTTCATCAGAGCAATTGCTCAGATCAGGCTTATATGTGTCATCAAACAGTTGACTTTCTTGTAGTTGCAATTCTTGATTACAAGAAAGTCTTGTTTGGTCATATGCCATGTAATCTTCTACTTGTGTTGGATTTTCAAGAGGATGGATTGGTTCTATATTCTGACTAGAAACAGAATCATCATTGCTGGAATAACTAGTAGTGATCATTGGACTTGAATTATTGCTGTTGTTACTAGTCACACTACTAGTATTTTGATTGATGTTGTGACTACTAGTTGCAGAAGAAGCTGAACTCTGCTCCTTCTGATCATGGCTCTTCTGTTTTGCAGTTTTCTTGCTGTCGAGGAGATTTTTAATCCGCGAAGCAAGTGGTGAATCAACCGAGACACGAGTAACGAAGTTGGTTCGTGTGTTTGATCCACGAAGAAGGCAAGCAGCTTGATCGTAAGCACGAGCAGCTTCTTCAGCAGTTTCAAAAGTTCCAAGCCACATCCTTATCTTTTGTGTTGTGTCTTTGATCTCAGCTACCCATCTCCCTGAAGGCCTTTGCCTCACACCAACAAACTTGTTACTTCTATTGTTTCTGCCCTTCAATTTGGTCACTTTTGCCTCTTTGTGCTGCTGTTTTTGGAAGTTAATTTCCATTGGAATAAAGGTTTTTAGGGAGAAGAAAGTAGTAAGAATAGTATTTGAAGCTTCTTTACTTGGTCTAAATGATAGTAGTGGAGAAAGTTGTCTACATGTCTTTGTTTCTGTTAATGTGGGCTTTATATATATATATGAGATACCTATAATTCAAAGTTGTGCTATTGTCTCATATTCTGTTGCTTTCCTATGTTTGTAAGTTTGTTTTTATTAGGTAATATTCTGATTTCATTATCTCCAAATAAAAAAATAAAGAAGGTATTAATATTGAAGGATGACTCATTCTTCCCTTAATAATCTTTTTTTTCCCTCAAAATGTTAATCTGTCTTTGTTGATTTGGTCATAACTAGGTGAGTTTTGGATCTAATATAATACTGTTGATTTCTTTTTTTTTTTACAAATTTCTAAAGCAGGGGAACAATCCCCCATGGAAACTTGAAAGATGGCTATTTTTATATTCTCCTACTCACTATGCCGAGTTTGTTACATTTAAGTGGAGAAGTTAATGGATTTATCTATGCTACTCATTAATGGTACATTAAGAAATTACAAACTGTAAATAGCATGAGAACTGTCATGGGCGACTTTCCAGCGATATCCCATGATCCCCTGGACGCGTCTCATGGCATCGTGGCAAGACTCCCAACACTTAGCACCATGGATGGCCTCGTGGTCTTGGCCGCGCTAAGTGACAAGCGTGCTTGTGCCTATGTCAAATGCCAACGTCGCGCGCGCAAACAGCGCCGTGTACGCAGGCTCTGATGCTAAAGACAAGGTTGCTGCAATGGATCTGCTTCTACCTTGTAGGAATCTAAGTCTTTTTCATAGTAAATATAAAGTAGTTTTATTTCATGTATTTCCATTATACCTTTCTAGCTAGTTAGATCATGTCCTGTAACTTTGATTATTTTTTTTAAGTATTATTTGGGGGGATCAAGCAATCAAACTTTCTAGCAAGCAAACAATTCTTTGTACTGGTGTCTCTCCCCCTCGACACCGTGTTGCT